GACACCTTTGCTCAAGAAAAGGCTTTCCAAGCTCCAGCAGCCTGGAGGAGGGAGCTCTGGATCGTCTCTTGGGACGCGCTCGGCTTTTCCTTGTCGTTGCTCCGCGTGGCGCCCAGGGGCGAGCGGCTTTGCTCCGGCGCCCCTCCGTTCCTCGGCGGCGCGTCGGGGTGACGGCGCGGCTCTTCGTCGCAATAACCGACAGCGCGAAGCCGCCGCGCTGAGCGCTTGCAGCGCTGTTTGGCAGGGAGGTGTGGGAAATTAGGAAGCGAGCCCGATGCTGCTGCTCGCAACCGAGGCCGGTTCCCGTTCCACCTCTCTGCGCCGCGCGGTCCCCGCAGGGCCAGCAGAAGCAGATCGCATTAAAACTGCATTTTGGTGATTCGAGTCAGCAGATCTGGCTACGCGAACGCAACATCTGCTGAGTCAGGCGGTGCCATTTTTGCACGGATGCTTTTTCAGAGCGGAGCTGCAGTCCAAGCTGCCGTCTGTAACACGTCCCAAAGCTTCCCCGTGCCGTTTTGCTCACCCTTTAATTAAAGTACCCACCACTGCTGGGAAACCTATTTTTGCTACTCCCCTGGGTTGTTGCATAAGGCAGGCTTCGTTGCTGCAAGAAGAAGATTTGGCCCGTAGAAAGCACAAATTAAAAGGAGCCTTTTGACTGTCAGTAGATAAATAGTGTCTTTAAGGCTGTGTGTTGCTGCAGTTCCTGTTGCCAGAGCCCTGCCCTTCCTCGCAGGCTGGAGCCCAAAGGAAAAAGGGCTTCGCGTTCCCATGGGTGGGATCTTCCAGAAGAAGGGTGGGGAAGGCACGAAGGGGCTTTGGGACCAGCGAAGGGCCTGGTGCGGATGTCTAGCAAGACACCTACACGGTTTGTGCAGCCTCGCAGCCTGATTTCATTCCCACCTTCCCCTAGCGCTAATCCCTCAGCTCTTCGTTCACCTTCCCTGCCTGATTTTCATTTCCTAGCCTGCCTTCAGATCACTCTTTTCATCTCCAAGGTCATTGCCGAGGCTTCATTACAGCGCCTTTCAGGTTGATGAGGAACAGGGAAGGGAAAG